TGATGCTTTCTGTATCACTCAGTATTTTGCCCATGTTGTTGTTGTTGTTGTTGTGATGTGCCATGGACTCGGTTCTGACTAATAGTGACCTTGTACAAGGTTTCTGAAGCTGTAAATCTTTACGGGAGCAGAAAGCCTCATCTTTCTCCTGCAGAAGAGCTGGTAGTTTCGAACTGCAGACCGTGAGGTTCCCAGCTTGATTCGTAACCACTACGTTACCTATTGCAAGTCAAGGTTTGAATTTTTTTTCTTCAGTTCTTTCAGATTGAGAAATGCTGAGCATGTTCTTCCCTTTCAGGTTTCTAACTCCATGTCATTGCACATTTCATTAAAATATTTGACTTTTGTCTTCTGGGGCTGCCCTTAGAAATCTTCTGTTCAGCTCTTTTGACTTTTTCATCCCTTCCATTTGCTTTAGCATCTCTATGTTGGACAGCAAGTTTCAGAGTCTCTTCTGACATCTATTTTAGTCTTTTCTTTCTTTCCTGTCTTTTTAATAACCTTTTGCTTTATTCTTGTAGGACGTCCTTGATTTCTTCCCAAACTCTTCTGACTTACAGTCATTAGTGTCTAATGTACCAAATCTGTTCTTGAGAGGGTCTGTAAATTTAGGTGGGATATGTTAAAGATCATACTTTGGCTCTCATGTGCTTGTTTTAATTTTCTTCAGCTACCTCCTCAGTTTGCATATGAGCAGTTGGTGGTCTATTCCACAGTCTGTCCCTGGCTTTGTTTTGACTGATTATATATTGCACTTTTAAACCATCTCTTCCCACAAATGTAGTCAGTTTGATTACTGTGTATTCCCCCCGTTAAGATCATTGTGTATAGTCATTTTTGATGTTTTTTATAAAAGGTATTTGCAATGAAGATGCCATTGGTCTTGAAACATCCTATTGTGCATTCTCCACCATAATTTCTATTCCAAGACCATATTTTCCAACAACCAATTCTTCCTCTTTGTTTCTAACCGCTGCATTACAATCACCAGTAATTATAAATACATCTTGATTATAAATTTGATAAATTTAAGACAGAAGAAGTTGGTAGAATTCTTCTACTTCATCATCACTGGCTTTAGTGGTTGGCACTTAAAATTGAATAATAATGGTAGCAACTGGTTTTCTTTGTAGGCATATGGGTATTATTCTATCACAGAAAACATCGTACTTCAAGATAGAACTTGAAATGTTCTTTTTGATGAGTGCAACACCATTCCTTTTCAACTTGTCATTCCAGGCATAGTAAGCCATGTTGTCAAATTCAAATGGCCAATACCAGTCCTTTTCAGCTCACTAATGCCTAGGATACTGATGTTTATGCATTCCATTTAATTTCTGGCAACTTCCAATTTTCCTACAGGAATACTTCCTACATTCCATGCTCTGATTATTAATATGTGTTTGCAGCTGTTTCTTCTCATTGGCAGACAAAGATTTCAAATGCTTTACTCCATCACATAATCATGGTCAATCCTACTTGAGGAATCAGCTTTTCTCAAGTTGTATTTCAAGGGCAACATGCAAGCTACCACAGTACAACAAAGTAACAGTCAAGTGGTGGTGATTGTAGTGATCCTGGCTTTTTCTTTTTTGTTGTTATTTTCCATAATGTTTATTGGATCCCTAGTGTGCCTGTTCTGCTGTGCATAGGGTCGCTATGAATTGGTACCGACTCGATGGCACCTAACAAAAACAACAACAGTGTGCCTGTAGGTTACCCTGGACTGGTACCTATAAGGTCACCAGTTCAAACTCACTAACCACCCAAGGAAACCCTATTCAGAATCTCTGTGAGTTGAAACTGACTTGACAGCACACAATATTAAAATAAGAAAAAATAAGTCTGATTCCCAAAAAGTTGTTTCTGATTTGAAACGTGCTAAAAATGGTAGCTAAGGGTCTTACCTTGTGAAGCCTTCCCTCCATGTTGTTTGGAAATGGCTCTTTATTGACCCAGACCAACAGGTCTGGGTACACCTGTAGAAACATAAACGCACACATATAGAGTCAAAACAGGACCTACTGTGAAATCTCATTAGGTCAGTTTAATGGAGCTCAATTCTTTCAGTGTTCAGTCGCTTATTTTCTAATTGCAATGAAGGGTGCTCAAAAAGCCCATAAACACTAATAATATTCAAATTGTTAGTATGCATCTTTATGTACACTGCACTCAGGAGAGTTTTACCTCAGTGCCTTCCAAGTCTAAGTCCAAGAGGGCAGATACCATTCAATGCTATCTTTAACAGACAAGGTAGCAGTTTCTTCATGGCATGTCTGACTGAGCAAATTAAGTCATTGTGACGGCCTAACTTTCTAGGCAAAACCCCTTTGCCATCTGTGGATTCTGATCTGCTCTGTAGGACTTTCGTAACTGTAATATTAATGGAAGCAGATTCATCAGGCTTTTCTTCTGAGGTGCAGCCTGGTGAGTTCAAAACACCGAACCTGTAAATTAACAGACAAATGCAAACCATTTGAACTGTGTAAGAACCTCTTCTACATATCCTTGTAAAACTCTCTATTTGTGAAATAAGTGAGTCATTCACCCATCAAAGGCCATTAGGGCTAATTGTGATAATTTATTAGAAGCCTAAGGTTATGCACAAAGCATAAGGAAAAGGAAACAGCAGTCCAGTCTCCCCTGAGTCCACAAGGCCACCCACCAACAACACACTCCACCCAGCAGCCTGATAGCAGTGCCATTAACATATGGGGGGCAGGGAGATGGGCAGCATTTGTCATGAATGATTCATAAAACACTAGCTGATGGTTTCAGGAGTGGGGGAGCTGAAGAGAGTGAGTGGAACTGAGTAACTTTCCTTTAAATATACAAAAGGTTATTATCATAAGAATGTGTTTGGCCAGCTGTTCTCCATTTAAAGACAAGAGTTGGGGAATGGAGTTAAATTGCAACTACAGATTTAGGTCAGCTATAAGGAAAAACTTGGCATACGAATTGTTAAATTACTAAAAGAATTTAGAGGGAAAACTGTGAAATCTTCTTTAAGAAATTTAGAAACAGAATCCAACAACCATCTGTCAAGGCTAATTCCTGTTTAACACAGTCCTGCTTGAAGGGAGGAGGGATGCAGTGAGATAAATTTTTTTTTTTCCAGATTTGATTCTCTAAATTCTGTAAGTAAGCTTCACACTTAATAATGATTCAGAGTCACATCTCAACATGAGATCAAACTGACACCAGGAACTCAAAAGGTTAGATAGGAAGTTTGGGGGTCCATACATTTATGTTAACGTAAGGAACAATTTAGAAAAGTAGTGTGAGAATGGTTATACAACCAGAAGAATGTAATCAATGTCACTGAATTTTGCATGTAAAAAATTTTTAATTGGTGTATGTCTGATAACGTATATTCTCTACAAGAAAGAAAAAATATTTTTAAAACAAAAAAAATTAAACATACCTACCTCACTAATAAATGAATGAACAGACTTAGATGCCATTTTTGCTTTTGAAAACACTGGAGAAGGTAGTCTGATCATTAGGTTAACTGCAGTGTTTTCTTGTGTTAACTGCAGTGTTTTCTTGTATGTGTTAATTGATGTCTTTTGTCCCATTTGGTCAAGAGGTCTGAAGAAGACAACATGGTGGCTGTGTTGACTCTTTAGGGTAATCTAATAGTCTATTGCAGTAACATTTAATCTTACCAACTCATGGCAACCCTATATGGGGTTTCTAAGTCTCATCTTTCTCCCACAGAGCTACTGGAGGGTTTGAACTGCCAACCTGTGGTTAGCAGCCCAGCACCTAACCCAGAGCACCACCAATCACATCCCAATTAGCAAAACATTCATTATCTATCTCTTCACGGTTGACTGTGAGCTGGTCTTTCTCTCATTACACTATTGAGGAAATTGAAACTCAAAAAGAAGGTCTAATGACTTGCCCAAAGTATAGGTAAGACTGGAACTTAAAATCAGACTTCTAAATTTTATACTTCAATTTTTTCTTCTATAGTGCTGCCCTTGCAACATGTAGGAGACAAATCACCTGTTACCTCTCCTTCAAATTGACATCAGTCAACAGCATCCTGTAATTGCTGAAATGATTTTCTCACTCTGTCCTGCATCTACTATTCTTGGCCATGTGGTTCCCCTTACAGCAAACACCTTTCTTTCCCACAGATTTCCCTCCTCAGTACTGCTCCTTTTGGGAAAATTCCACCATTTCCCTGCTTTGGGACATTCCTTTTAGTCAAGAGGTAAAGAAAACAAAATTACCATCTAAAATACACAGGGGCTCTTCAGAGCTTAAAATAAAGTCTGAGTACACAATATCCTTGTTTGGGCTTAACTTTAGAAGACACCAGATTTGGGTGACTGTAAATATACTTTATATACTTGTAAATAAAAAGATTACATTTCTGTTAATCTTATAAACATGTTTTAAGTACAATTAAAAATACTGATGAGAAAATTGTGTAGGGAACCAAAAATGTTGATAAAAATACATGTAGAAACTCGGTAAGCACAAATCTACTGTCACTTAGTCACTCTGTGTTGTTATTGTTGTTCAGTGCTGTAGAACCAATTCCAACCCACAGGGACTCTGTATAGGGTTTCCGAGTAGCAGCTGGTGAGCTTGAACTGCTGACCTTGCAGTTCAAACAGCTTTGCAATATGGTGCATTAACCCACAGCGCCACACCAGGAATCTATTTGTTATTGTTAGGTGCCATAAAGTCGGTACCGACTCACAGTGACCCTATGCACAGCAGAATGAAACACTGCCCGATCCTGGGCTAACCTCACTACAGTTGCCACGCTTCAGTCCATCGATGCTGCCACTTGGCCAATCCATCTCGTTGAGGGTCTTCTTCTTTTTCTCTGACTCTCCACCTTACCAATGACTGGTCCCTCCTGACAATATGTCTGAAGTATGAGAGACAAAATTTGGCCACCTTGACCTCCAAGGAACACTCTGGCTGGACTTATTTCAATACAGATCTGTTGGTTCTATGGGCAGCCCATGGCACTTTCAATATTCTCCTCCAACATCATAACTCAAAAGCATAAATTCTTCTACGATCTTCCTTAGTCACTATCCAGCTTTCGCATGCATATGAGGTTATTGAAAATACCATGGCTTGGGTCAGGCACACCTTAGTCCTCAAGCTGACATCTTTGCTCTACACACTTTAAAAACGGTCTTGTGCAGCAGATTTGCCTAATGCAATACGTTGTTTGATTTCTTGACTGCTGCTTCCATGAGTGTTGATAGTTGATCCAAAAAGAATGAAGTCCTCAACAACTTCAATTGTTTCTTTGTTAATAAGAATGCTGTTTATTGGTCCACTGGTGAGGATTTTTGTTTTCTTTAAAATGAGATGCAATCCACAATGAAGGCTGTGCCCTTTAATCTTCATCAGTAAATGTTTTAAGTCTTCTTCACTTTCAGCAAGCATGGTTGTATCATCTGCATATCGCAGGTTGTTAATGAGTCTTCCTCCAATCGTGATGTCACGTTTTTCTCCATAGAACCCAGCTTCTTGGACTATTTGTTCAACATACAAGTTGAATAAGTGTGGTGAAAGAATATAACCTTATCATACACCTTTCTTAATTTTAAACGATTCAGCATTTCCATGTTCTGTTTGAACAACTGCCTCTTGGTCTAGGTACAGATTCTTCAGGAACACAATTACGTGCTCTGGAGCATTCATACTTCTCAATGTTGTCCACAATCGAAAGCCTTTGCATAGTCAATAAAGCACAGGTAAACATCTTTCTGATATTCTCTGCTTTCAGCCAAGATCCATCGGACATCAGCAATGATATCCCTCATTCCATGGTCTCTTCTGAATCTGGCTTGAACCTCTGGAAGTTCTCTGTCAATGTATGCTTGCAGCCATTTCTGTATTACCTTTAGTAAAACTTTACTCACATGGGCTATCAAAAAGTTTGTCTGATGATTTCTCCATTCTGTTGGGTCACCTCTTTTTGGAATGGGCACAAATACGGATCTCTTCCAATCAGTCAGCCAGATAGCTGTCTTCCAAATTTCTGGGCAGAGATGAGTGAGTGCCTCCTGTGCTGCCTCACTTTCTTGAAAGATTTCAAGCTGTATTCCATCAATTCCTGGTGCCTTGTTCTTTGCCAATTCCTTCATTGCACCTTGGACTTCCTCCTCCAATATCATTGGCTCTTGATCATATGCTACCTCTTGAAATGGTTGAATATTAACCATTTCCTTTTGGAACACTGACTCTGTGTATTCCTTATATCTTCTTTTGATGCTTTCTTCATTCAATAATACGCTCAGAGAATCCTTCAATAGAAAGTCGAGGCTTGAATTCTTTCTTCAGTGCCCCCAGCTTGAGAAGTGCTGAGTGTGTTCTTCCTTTTTGGTTTTCTGATTCCAGATCTTTGCACATTTTGTTGTAATATTTGGCTATATCTTCTTGAGCTGATCTTTGAAATTTTCTATTCAGCTCTTGGACTGCCTCATTTCTTCCATTTGCTTTATCATCTTTATGCTGGAGAGCAAGTTTCAGCGTGTCCTCTGACATCCATTTTGACCTTTTCCTTCTTTCATGTCTTTTTAATGACTTTTTGCTTTCTTCATGTACAGTGTTCTTGATATCATCCCGCAACTCTTCTGGTTTTTGGTCTTTAGTGTTTATAGGACAGGGTAAAACTGCTCTCTAGGTTTCAGAGGCTCTAAATTTTTATGGAAGCTGACTGATTCATCATATTCTCAAGGATCAAATGGTGGGTTCAGATCACCAGCTTTTCAGTTAACAGCCCTATGTTTAATCCACTTATTTGGTGGTCTCATTTGTAAACACGTTGTTGTTGTAAGTTGTTGAGTCAATCCAATTCATAGCTACCCTGTATAGCATTTGTTGTCGTGAAGTGCTGTGGAGTTGGTTCCAACTCATAGTGACAAGGCTTTAAATTTCTATGGGAGCAAAAGGCCTCTTTCTCCTGCTGAACAACTGGTGGATTTGGACTACTGACGCTGAGATTGACAGCCCAATGTGTAGCCCACTGTGCCACCATGTATCCCGTGGTAGGCACATATTGTTGTGTTATGTGCCGTCAAGTTGGTTCTGATACATAGTGACCCTGTATAGGGTTTCCGAGAGTGGCTGGTGGATTTGAACCTCCAACCTTCCATTGCTTATCCTGAAGTGCCACACCAGGACACATGAAGTTATTAAAAGCAAAACCAAGTAAACATTATTTCTGTGTTCCTGTGCTTTTCTGGGAGTATTCCATTTTAACAAAATGGCATTGTTTTAGCATTTAATTTCTGGGTTTGGAGTCAAATACTAAAGCCACCCAAGTCCAGTTTGTGGGGGAAATAGCTTGTCTTTCAGAAATTATTACACTTGTCATTCTACCAAATTATTTTTCTAAGAACTTCCTTTTTGTTAAGAACAAAAGTCAATTATTTTCACCAAAGAACTCAGGAACATGAGTATCAGATAACATAACCCACAAGGAAGAAATCTTTCTCGCCTGCCTCAACCTCATTCCATTGAAACATTAATTTAGCCACAAATTGACCAAGCGATCTCTAATTAGGCTGTTTTTTTGTTGTTGTTGTTTTCAGCATTTGAATCATAAAGTAATCATTGTCTACAAAAAATGTCACTTTGACCTTGTTTCCTTTAGAATCACAACCTGAAGCCAAAAATGGTAGTGACAGAGAAAGAATTAATTACATTTTTGAAACCTAATTGGCCAGTCTCTAAGAACTCAGTTTATCCTTGGGCATAGTACCTGAGAGGACATTCAAACTTCATTTTTATCTTTCATACAGCTGGATTTGAAAAAAAAAGTTGTAGACTATTGGAAATAAATCCTATCTACATTATAGCTTTGTTCTTTCTTATAACTGTGGAATTTTGATACACTAAAATGAAGGGCTTAAACAACAAGATTTATTGACAATTATCCTCGTGCTCAAATGACTCAGACCTGACCTTTGGTGTTCTGCAAGTGCCTCAACTTTATCTAATTTCTTTTCCAGTGCTGGACATGGAAAAAGAGTAGTTATAAGTAACAATCATTGTCCTTCCTGTCAAAAGCCATCTTCATTTGTCTATAGTGTATATTGTTGATGTTGTTAAGTGCCGTCAAGTCGGTTCCGACTCACAACGACCCTGTACAGTGTTTCTGAGGTTGTAAATCTTTACTGGAGCAGAACACCTCATCTTTCTCCCGCGGAACAGCTGGTAATTTCGAACTGCTGAACATGTGGTTAGCAGCCGAATTCATAACCACTACGCTCCCAGAGCTCCTTATAGTGTATATGCTTGAGACATATTATTGACACCTTTGAGATGCTAAGAAATCCTTGTCAAATAGATTGCCTTCAGCTGGTATTTCTGCATAACAGTCAAGATTCCAGCTCAGGAAGTCATTTTTAAGTCTGAACATTTGAGCTTCTGATAGTTACTATCCAGGTTCTACTGCTGACGGTCAGGGACATAGTGCCACTTTTCAACATCAAATTTCTTACTACTGTTCATGCATTCATTCACTAAGAGTTCATTACACACCTGCAGTGTGCTGGACACTATTTTAGGTTCTTCAGATTGCTATAGGTGG